CCCCCCCCTCCCGGTTCTCCGTCCCAAGTCGGCCAATGACCAAATGCTCCCTCTATCCGAGGGGCAGGCCGAGCTTCGCGTTCGCTTCGGCGTTCGGTGCGCATGGGACACCCTCCGTCTCCCCCCTCCCACCATGTCCTCCCCCCTCCGGCCCTGACAAGTGTACGCCTCAGCGACACGAACCCGATCGAGCTGCTGGCCGCTGGACTCCCGAATGGCGCCGACACCTCGGCCCTCTCGGTCAAAATGAGCGTCTTCTCGGCGGGCGAAGCCAACGCGCCGGCGGCACTCCTTCCGCAGGTACAGCTCCCTTGGCTTGCTCCTTGCGTCTCATGGGGTTTCCCTCTTCTCGCTTCCCCCACCCCTTTCCGCTTCACTCACTCCTCTCGTGTGGCCTTTCGAAGATCAACATTTGCAACTATGGCGCCCTCTCCGACAGCCAGTGCGACAAGTACCTGGCACTGCTGGAGGCTCTTGGCCCCCAGCCCCCCTCGGCCAGGACCCCGGTCGGGCCGTTCCCCTCCTTCGTGCCGACCATCCAGCCGGAGTTCGGCGTCCCCTGGGTGAGTCTCTCTCTCTCTCTCTCTCTCCCCCTCTCTCCATCTCTCCATCTCCCTCTCTCCCTCTCCCGCCCCTTCCCCCAGTCCTCCTTTGCTTCCTCCCTCCCCTCCCTCTCCCCCCGTCTCGATCGACCCCCTGACACCCGGTTTCCCCTTGGGCGGCTTGTGCCCTCGCTCTGCTGCCCACTCAGTCGGCCGGCGACAGCTTCGAGTTCACACTCCGGCTTCAGGAGGCCGCCCTGAAGCAGGTGTTCATGTGTTTCGAGATCTTCTCCGCCCCGAGCGGGCCCGAGGGCAGCACCTCGCCGGTGCCCATGCTGCTGGCCTCGGCCACCGTCACCCCCGGGCAGTTTGCCGGCAAGTCGGCCGACATCATCGAGGCGGCCCTCCTTTCGGCTGGCTGCCCTTCGCGGCCGGCCGGGCGCCTGCGGGCGGATGTCCTCATTGGCCGGGCGCTCCCGGCGTCCGTTCTGGCCCTGGCCGCCTCGGCCACGATCCCCTCGCCCGGCATGCAGGCGGACTTCCCCTTTACCAGCCTCCCCTCGACGGCGGGGTCCTCGGCCGACGAGCTGGCCGGGGTCACCCTGCCGGCTCCAACCTACGGGCCAGTCAGCGGGCTGGGGGCCCGGCGGGTGGGGCACCGGGGGGCCGGCGCATCCGATCGCAATGTCAGCCCCTCGCCGGCCTGGCTGTCTCCCCTGCGAGAGAACACCCTCCTGTCTCTTTTGCGCGCATCGCGCAACGGCGCCGATGGCGTGGAATTCGATGTGCTCCTGAGCAAGTGCAAGCAGGTGGTCGTTTACCACAACACTGATGCTCGCGTGCGTGGCACCGTGCGCTCCGATGGCGATGCCGGTGCCCAGGGCTTCGAGGATGTGGTCATCAATCTGAACCAGATGTCCACCAAGCAGCTGCGTTCCCTGCACCTGGGCCTGACTGGCGAGGTCCCCGGGGCGGATGGCCAGCCGGCGGACCTCGGCGGCGATCCGGGCTTCGAGTGCATGTCCACCGAGCCGGGTCACGGCCGCGCGGCCGGCACTGTCTGCCCCATCAACCAGGACCCCAATGCCAGCGGCGTGGCCACTGCCTCCGGTCAAGCCAGCACCACCCCATGTGTCCCGGCCCCCGGCTACATGCCGTCTCTGCAGCAGCTTTTCGACAGTGCGTCCCCCATTTTGTGCCCATGTTTGCGTGTGTGTGTGTGTATCGATGCATCTCGGCAGGAAGGGGGCGTCCGGCATCCGGCCCGTTTGCGTGGCGCCTCGCCCTTCGCGCTTCCCCCCCCTCCATCCCTCGCCCTCCTGGTTGGTCGGCAACTCACTCGCTCCCCCACGCCACCCCTTCAAGCTCTCCCGCCCGGGCTGATGTTCAACATCGAGATCAAGTTCCCCACGCCGGCCATTGTCCCGGATGAGGTGAACACCTTCGACCAGTGGGCCGATCGCAATTTCATGCTGGACGAGATCCTGCGCGTGGCCCTGGCCCCGCAGCCCATCTGTGCCCGGCCGATCGTCATCTCCAGCTTCGACCCCGAGATTTGCTACCTGTACGTGAGGCCAGGCCACTGTCTCGGCCCTTGCTCGCTCGCGACAATCCCGCCGTTGCCCCCCCCCCTCCCCCTCCCCCTGCACATGGTGTTTCCCCGCCCCCAATTGACCCTCCCCTCGTTTGTGCGACGTGCAAAAGCGCTCGTCTCAAGCAGTCGGCCATTCCGGTGATCTTCCTGACCACCGGCGGGCATCCTGTGTACGGGGCATATGGCGATGTTCGGTCCATGTCAGTTGCGGCGGCCATCTCCTTTGCGCGGGTTGCGCGCCTGCATGGGGTCTGCTCTTTCACCGCGCCGCTGGTCGAGCAGCCGGAGCTCATTACTTTGGTCAAGAAATTTGTGCGCCCCGGTCATGTGTTTTCCCTTCTTCGCTGGCGGTGTTGCCCCCCCCCCCCACGCACAGGGGAGACGCCTGTGCAGCGGCGCCCGTGTTTTTTTTTCCCCCCCGCCCAAACGCTGACATCGGCCTTTGTCTTGATCGCCCACCCCGTTCTCCCTGCGACTCCGCCTCAAGGGCCTGAGCCTCTTCACGTGGGGCTCGCACAACAACGACGCCAAGGAGGCTACCAAGGCCCGTTCCCTCGGTGTGGACGGCATCATCTCGGACCTCTTCCACCTGCCACAGGCGCCCACTGGCGAGGCGACCCTGGGTGACCAGTGAGATCGCGCGGTACACATCATGTGCGGGGGGTGGTGGAGGAGGGCCCGAGCAGCATGGTAAAGACGCGGCAGGGGGGCGGGGGGAAGGGGAGTATGCATCCCTTCCCCTCTCCCTCTCCCTCTCCCTCCCCGCCTCTCGATGCGTCTTCTGTCTTTCCTCCTTTTCCTCCTTTTTCCTCCCATCGTAGCAGGGTTGCTATGCAGCTGTATTTGGGATTCGGGGGGAAACATGGTCCAACATTGTGGGTCTTCCGGGTTGCCCCCTCCTCTGTGGAGGCACAGGTGCGGGCGCGGGAAGCAGGGACAAAGGGGGGCACGCGGGCAGGGGCATGGGCGGCTCCGATGGGCATGCGTCTCTGCTGGGAAGGGCAGCCACCGCTGTCGAAGAGAGGATTACTGGCAGGAAGCAAGGCAGGGCGCGGTCCAAGCACTTGAGTGGGGGCTGGGCAGGTGGAGAGGGGGAGCCTCTCATCAAAAGCAGCCAAAGGGAGGGGGGGGGGGGGGGATGATTGCCTGATGTGCGACTGCTGGCCGACCGGCATTCACGCGGGCATCATGTGCATGGGTCCGGGGATTTGTGAGTCCGCCGCTTGGCGCCCAATCCCAGCAGGGCAGGGGTTGCGTGTGCCGGCCACCCGCGCCATGCTCCAATGTCGGGGGCCCACGCCATTCGCGTTCCCCAGTGGCGCGACAATGGCTGCGTCCTGGCCGGGCCGCGGCGGCCACACCCGGCGGGCAGGGGTCCGAGGCCGGGGCGCATGCCAACCCTTGGTCCACAATCTGCGGCGGCATGTTGACCCCACCACCATGTCCTGCCCTGGGGGAGAGAACCCATGCCAGGTGGCCGGGCGGACCCCCTGGATGATGGTGCTGTTGCCCACTGTGTGTGGCATTCCCCCTTCGTCGCAGGTATGCCAGTGTTTCTTGTGTTCCGAGTTTATCCAATTCCCTCCTGGAAAGGCACCCCGGCGGCCCGCCTGGCATGGGTTCCCCCCCACCCCCCCCACCCGGGCAGGGCTCCTTTGTGGGTGGACGCCCGGACATAAGCTGATGCCCCCCAGCCATGCCTCAATCCCTGCCCCTTTTTCGCCAAATACGCGCCCCTGCCAGTCGAGAAAATGGCTCCCTGCCTGGCTGATGTTTGGGCGTGAATCCCTTGACCGATGGGCGATTGTCGCCAGCCCCGAAGGCGATTCCTCCTCCACGTTCGGCGGCCCCCGCCCGGGCGTCGGATTTTCCCTGTCCCCGATTGCCAACACAAACATGCTGCCCCCCGCCTCCCTCCCCCCATTGCCTCGCTCTCTCTCCTCGCCCTCCTGCTCCCCCGCTTGGCCTTTCGCACCTCCCCCCTGGCCCCCTTTGCTCCCCTCGCCCTGGCTCTCGATGGGGAGGCACTCTCAATGCCTGGATGCTCTGGGAGATATAAATGAAGGCCGCTTGGCGGCGTGCTCCCTGTGCATCGACATCCATGCGCGGATGTGACCAAAAAAGCCCCCCCCCCCGCCCCCCCAAACAAACGCAGCTCCACTTCCTGCTCTCCGCACACTCGATCGACCTTCCTTGCCCGCTCTTCTCCTCGCCTCCTCCCTGCTCCTCTCCCCACTTCCAGCTCCCCACTTCCTGTTCCTCCCTGCCAATGGTCTCAAGTCATCAGGAGTCCGAAGACAGCCTGCAGGTGCCAGTCCTCCCTCTCGCGGTCGGGGGCCTTGGTGCCGGGCTTGTGGCGGCGGTCGTCATGCTTCCCACGCCGGCGGCTGCCGGACTGTTGGCCATCATCGTCTGCGGTGTTCTCTATGTCACCAACATCTATGTCACCAACCGCAGGGTACCCCTTTGCACATGCTCGTGCCGGCCGCTTCTTCCAGCCCCCCCCCCCCCCCCCCCCCCCCCCCCCCCCCC